TTTTCGTTACGGAATTTCTGGATTTGGTCCCCGCGCTCAAGGCCCGTGATAGAAGCTATGCAATAGCTTAAAAATTTATGTTTGCTCATACTTTCTACGATGCCATGCCGTTCATCAGATTGCGGTAAAACTTTGTCAACTTATTGGTTGCACTTGTGCGAAGATTATACGCATGGTACAATTAACTGACACTAGGTGGCATGCGTATTATACTGACTATTTATTTGAAAGTTACAGAAAGTTATATATCATTCTATTTCAATGATTGTATTATCATTCCGAATTATACAATATAACTGTTCCAAATTTTCAATATATTCTCACTTTATTAAATTCCCTTCGTTATCCTTTAAAACCCTTAAATCACCTAAACAATTTCTTATATTTTTAAGCATATGACAGGGATCAAATACTACATAAATCTTGTGGTTCTTATCTATTGTGTGATAAAAGAAAGGTTTAGTGTCGTTTCCTGCTGAAAGCACTACCCCTAGTTTAGCTACCGTAGAAAAATGCTCGGGTGGTCCATCTAAAGTTATGGAGTATATTTTTATAATGATTTCTTATATTTACGCGAACACTATACATGATTAAAACTACTTTTACGGATTTTATCGCGTTTATTTTTACTTTTTATTTACTTTTATTTTTAATTCCCGACGTTTCGGGCGCTTTCCAGCACCCATGGTCACGGGGGACTGAGATGACTGACGTCCCGATGTCATTGTTAAACCCGGAGTACCTTCAGCTTTTTTAATTATTGTTTATGGTCCGATCTATGCAAAATGAACTGACTATGTCCTGAGGTCTTGCAGTGGTATGCTTGGGTTTAGTTTTAATTTTATTGATTATAGGATCCCAAGGAGGTGGTACTACCACCTCCTTGGGATCCCAGCCTCCTTCTCTATTGAAATTAGGATGTTTTTTAATTTCAATAGCCTCACGTATCATCCTTGGTAGGAATCGGTGTTCTTTCGCGAGGATTTGTGGTCTATCAAATCTGATGTAATGGTTGGGTCCGTCTAGGATATGATCACAAACTGCAGACTTCCCGGAACGTTGATGATCATCTATATGTTCTTTTACGCGGGTCCTAATTGATCTTTTTGTTTGTCCTATATAAGAGACACCACATTCACAATCAAGCTTGTACACTCCTGCATCTTGTAGAGGAATATGACACTTGACGGATGGTAGGAACTGACTAATCTTCTTCGGCGGCTTGTAGAATGTTCTAATAGAAGCTCGCTTCAAGATATAGCCAATCTTGTCTGTGACACCTCTGACGTATGGTAGCACAGCAGGCACACGCTCGACTGTGGCCGGCTTCACTCGGTCACTGTGACGTAGGCGCGGGACCCGAAGCTTGTTGTCGTGCAGAACTTGCTTGACGTGCTGAAGCTCGGCGGCCAGGTGCTTGCTGTCACAGATCCCTCGTGCTCTCTGTAACAAAGATTGTCTCTGTAACAACGCGTTACACCATCACGGCTGCGAGAGCAACTTTTTCTTTAAGCTCATTTCGTCTATGATCAAAGCACAAATTAGTGTTTCTCCATTCTGTTTTGCTTGGTTACTTTTAAGTAGAACATTAAAACTTTCAACTAAGAACCCCGGATTCGAATCTACAGAGCTATACCAGGAGCGTATTACCCGAGGATGTGGTAATGCTATATTAAACTTTTTTCTGACGAAAGCGTATGCTTTTGGTGAGTAAAAATGGAGAGTAATAGCAAAAGCTCTTAATTCCGGGGGATATTTAGCACGGCTGACATTTTTACTAGTATTTAGTGTCATCCTTTTAAACAATTGTGGCTTGAAGTCGTCATACAGATTTAATAGATTTGCACATTCATCGTTAATTAATTTTCTTCTCTTTAATTCAATAATTACATTTCTTAAACAAGTAATGTTGACCTTTAAGTGTTTCACATTTTGCGATAGGACTTTTACACGAGCTCGTGTGTTTTTCAAAGATTTCTGAACTCGTTCCAATGTCTTTTTGGATGATCTAGGGGAGTATTCATAACGATGATCATGCTTGATATTATTACGGACTTCAGAAATAGACAAAACCTTCTTTGAAGCGACAGTCTGTTCCCGGTAGCAACTTGTGTTCCGACCTATATACCAAATTTATATTGATAAATAACACGAAAAACACAACTTACACATGACATTTGCCAAGGTTTGCTTGTAATAAAAAATAAAAGAAAAATCAAGATACCAACATAAAAAAAGAAGAACTTTCCAGGCTCTCAATCTCGGGCAGCTCCATGTATTCTGGAGGCAGCAACGTACCTACTTTCAAAATACGGATCACCTTTATCGGTGCATATTGCACTAGCTCCTAAGCTTTCCAGCTTCGGCAGTGCCACGTATTCTGGGGGGCTTGACATATCGTAATCCATGGGTTCTTGATCGAACACTTGATTATCTTTGTCGGTGGATGTTGAGTGAGAGGAAGCTGCCAAAAACCGTGAATGTAAACGATGGCAAGAATTTGTAAATAAGAAGGAAACTAAAGTAGGACCACTATGAAGTTAAGGCACAAATTAAATTTTGAGACTCGAGAGATAATTAAATTTCTAGCCTCTCACTTACTAAAACCCCATGGTGTTACCTCTGCCGCAAATTGGCAGTTCCACGGAAATGCTTTCATGCACATCCGCGGCCCCTCCGCCAGCCGCCAAATGGCGGCCCCTCCTTAGTTGCTGACTTCTCCTCCCCCGTTTTCATTCTCAGATAAGGCGCACCAGAAGCAAGCCACACTGCCTTTCGCGTCCTCTAACTCCACCTGCACTACGGACTCCCCGAGCCCGATATGAGAATGGAGCCAGGAAAAAACGAGCACTTGAAAGCATTAAGTGGTCTCACCAAAGTCGCAAAAGATAGTCGAGTGGCGCATCGCCAATCGCCATACCAACACTCCTCTTCCCTTACGACTCCACCTCGACTACAGCGGTACAGGGAGAGGAATCTCCTCTAGCCGCAGCCCACTAAAACACATACAACATGGCTCGACATCATCAGGTGACCTTTCGACCCTTGGTTATGGCCCTTGAGTTTGGTGGAAAATGAGGAAAGAAGAAATAAAAAAAACATTCGAAATAATAATCTAATACTTTTATACTTACTGGTACTGGTACTACCAGAAAATATTGTCGGTATACTGCACTTTTTCAAAGTGGTGCAGTTCTCATGTCTAATAAAACAGTCGTCTGTGAAATGTTTGGAACAAATATGATCATTTTGTTTCGGACGCCAGTTCACAATATTTATGCTTTTAAGCCATATTTTTAGTCTAGGTTCAATTGGAAACCTGTTAATTAATAAACATTTGATAATCAACTGTTGTTGGCGACTTTGTTTGTTAACAGATATGGGTAGGAAAGAACATCGATAAGTATTATAGACAAGGAACTCGACAACCCTATTGAATTTTATTTTTTATCTAAACTCAGTAATATATAGCCAAAGATGTTGTTTTATATGATATTAAGATTATTAACAAATTTTTAATTCAATTTGCGGTTGGTAACCCAAAGTATAATATGAAATACATAATATAAAAATATTTCACGTCAAATGATTTTTTAATATGATAATTTGCAACCACAAATGGGGCATAGAATACAAGACAAAATCTTATATTTCATGCCAATGGTTAATTTTGTAGCAAATAAATGTTACAGTCTTTATTTTTACTGTTTATTTTAGTAGTTAAAATTTATATTAATCATCATTAGAGCACCGCACAAAGAGTAGACTGACATAATAGGACACACTATTTTAAAATAAATGCTAGCAATACTATTGAAAAACTAAAATTCGTTTTAACCACTATTGGTAAGTTGAAAAATAAAAAAATTCGAACCCACAAATTTTTGAATTCACGGTCCGCATCATAGTCCGCACCACAAACTAACAAGAGTACTTGGTCCGCACCTTGCCATTAAGGTATTGTCGTGTCGCTACGTAGTACTATGATTTATTGTGTTCTGTGAGTCGCGTCGGGAGCTTTATAAAGCGACCGACGCGACTCTATTATATAAATCTGTTTCGTATACGAAACAGATTAAAATATAACTTATATGTCTTTATAGAGCCGTGGTAGCTCAGATGGTTAGCGCTCGCTGTAAATTTCATAATACGCGAGCAGACCAGGTTCGGACCCCGCTGGCACCAATGAAATTGTTACAATTTTAAGTGCTGATTTACCACGTGCTCGGCTGTGAAGGAAAACATCGTGAGGAAACCTGCATATTTGAGAAATAAGAAAAAAAATATTTCGAAGACATGTGAAGTTCGCCAACACGCACTGGGGCAGCGCGGCGGACACTTCCTTGCCCTAAAACCCTCTCAGAAATGAGAGGAGGCCTGTGCCCAGTAGTGGGACGTATATAGGCTGTAACTTTACTTTTTTTACTTTTATATGTCTTTGCTTACTAAACTGTTTTCTATCATATTTTCTTTTTATATTCGTCTATATATTTTCTCGCAGGCTAAATACAATACATGCATTGATTATAATAAGTCTATGTATACATTTATACGTTTGTCTCTTTTTAGTGTCGCTTTTTCGTTTCAATTCATCCAGTATTAAATCACAATGATGTCTAGCAATAATGCGAAAGAAGTTTACACAAAAATTTATGTGTGAATGGAAACGTGTACCACTAACAAGGTATTAAACAAGACTACGATTTAATTTTTTAGAATATTGCGAAACGTATTCAGACCTTTACCTATTGCTATAATTTGTAATAAAAATAAAATGAGTTTGTATGTATCTACACATTATTACTAAGATGTCCTTAAAGAAAATGAGTATGAACCTCAAGTATGAACTTAGTCTAATAATCTAATATCACCATCACCAAATATCACTTTTAGACGTTTCCAAGGCAACAGAACTCAAAACAAATATTACTTGTTTAAGTTTATTGTCAATATTTAGCACAGAGTACTTTTTTATCATTAGCAATTTAAAAGATATAGAAATGTTTAGAGGAGAAAACTCGCACTCTTTAAGTTATGAACAACAAGCAAAGTTTATTCAAGATCGAATTACAAGCGTAGAAAGAAATTTTGGTGATCTATGTGTTGCGTTTGGAGATTACACTAGAAAAATTGCAAGGTAAATCACATACATTTATGTGTATTATTATCTCATTCATTTATTAATTCATTACAACCTATAATACGTGCTTGTGGTGGAAAATTACCCGTTGTAAATTAAACTATAAACACCCTATCAAAAGTCAACTGCTGAACGTAGATCTTGTCCAGAGATTGCCTCGTAGGCGATTTTGACATAGTTGCCACGCTTTGAAGACGGGTTGACAACTGCAGCTTTTTCATAATTTTCAGTTATTATCAGGAAGTTGTTGCAGCTTATTTCCTATTTCAGCTTCCCTTTGTAGCCTCTTACGTCACCCACCCAGGGGGTAATATAATGCCGCCACTACAAAGCAAATGTGTATGATCTATGAAGGTAAATAAGAATCCTATTCAAAATCCTCTTCAATTTCAATTTCAAACTCCTACCCGGTTTCTGAAGTACCCAATAATGTTCTCAATATCTAATGATTCATGAAATAAGTAATGAACCGTTCATAGCTACTTACTTACGTAATAACCAATTCTATAATCTGCCGCTAGATGGGTCTCATTAAGAGATCAATTCTAAAATTAGTTGTATTATTTTATTCGTCATTAATAATGCCTTCCTGAAATATGAGATGTTGAAAAGTATTTGAGATTATAAGAAATATTATTATATTTTATGTGTCCTTTTTATTAAATATCATCATCATTTGCTTTAACTGTTTTACCCTAACCTGCTCTTATTTATTTCACAACCTGGAGTATTTTCTGCAAAGATGAATGGTAGGTGGTTGTGTGACATAAATGAGTGTAGGTGTAAGGTACTAGTTATATTTGTATAATAATTATGCGACTAACCACAGATTTAAGTGTTAAATGCGCCTAAATCAGAGTTTTGTTGTCATTATTTATTCACTCCAACGAACGATTCTGAATTTCGAGGTTTTTGCTATCGTTTATGCTTATTTTTTATATAATGGAATCAGTGAAACGGAAAAGTTTTACTGAAAGAAAGAAGGTGGTTTATATCGAAGTAGGTAGGTAGAAAGTAGGTATCATGCTAATAAATTGTGGGTATTTTAGATAATAAAACTTTTAAATACTATACCAAATATATTTATTAAAATTTATGACTAAAATATTATAGAGCACACATTTTAATAAATGCTTTAGAATAAACCCCAGTACCTACTTCCAAATCAGCAAATTGGACTCCGATGAGCTCTGGTATTTATTGTCCTTTAAAAATACCTAAGTTAAAGTCAATATTCAGCTTTCACTGGTAACTTTTTTAAACGCATTATGACCTAAAAGTGAAAGTATTTTGCTTCAAATAAAACATCAAATAAAGTTATGGAACCTATAAACGGCACGAATTAATAATAAATAAAAATAAGTATCCTAAAAGTAAGTATCAACCGGGGAAGGACCACGCTCTCACAGAATACCCGCTTAAAATAGTAGTGTCGCGTATGGTGACCGTAGGGAACCGGAGACCCTTTTTACTGGAAACGAGGCATTTCATCTTAGCCCTCACGGGTGTCAATACATCTGCATTTTGATTCGTAATCGAGGATATATGTAGATGTCTATGGGCCACAGCAACCACTTACCATCATTTATTTATTTATTTTATTGACATTTACAGGAAAAAACTATTACATAAATTCTTAACTTCGCCAAACTGTAAAGACAGTTTGTTGGCGAATAAATGCACTCTTATATCCTATTACATAATTTAATTAAATAAGTACTCAACCCACATATTACAAACAACTAGAAATTTAAAACACGAACACTATAAATTCCACACTCTATCAATTCCAAATACAACACCCCACCCACATAACATTGCAACAAAATAAAAATTGTAAATGTATTATAAATAAAATGTAAATGTATTGTAATAGTTTTCTAAATGGTCATACATCTAGCATTTTATCCAAAAAATAATTCCCAAGTTTCTTTTTAATTGTTAATTTGCAATTAGGTCTATTTTGCCTTAGCCAATCTATTTCATTCAGAAGCTTTGGTATTAAATATTTTGTACATCTTTTACCATAGTAGTTTTTAACACTAGGCTGAAATAATTTCCCTTCTCTAACTTTCCTGGTTCTATATCTATTTTTCGTTATAATGGTTTTTATTAATGTTTTCCAAAACTAATAGCATGTTAACTTTGTGTTCTACCGGTAAATTTTACAAATAGAGAATAACTTATCATAATCTTTCTTACATTTTTCTTTAACTTTTTCATTTACAAGATGTTTTAGAAATCTTGTCTGTAGATTTTTAATGTCCTTTAAATAGGAAGAAAAAGTACGACCAAACACACCAAGTCCATAGGTTGTGAGGCAATCCACCAAAGCATAATATAGAAAATACATAGTTTTTTTGTTCAAGATATATTTTAAATAATAAAATTTACATAATACAGCCGACAACCTTGCACATACATCAGATATTTGAGATTTCCGATTAAAGTTTTTATCAATAATCAATCCTGAATACTTAAATCTCTCAACAAATTCAATTTCTTTACGTTTACAATTAATTTTATTATGATGCAAGCACTCAAAACCGTGGCATATAACAGCTATCTCATTCAATTTGGTCTTTTTTGCTGCAGCATTATATGGAGAGTGATATGGGAGATATGCATGCATTTTGTTTTATTAAAATTTAGAATTATGTCATTATCATGGGCCCATTTTGTTATATTCTCAAAATCAATTTGTATATTATTTTGCAATTATTTTGTTCCTTTAGAGGCAAATAGCAAGCACATGTCATCCGCATACACTTGAGAGTTTTTTATTACATTAGATACACTGTTTACATGCATAATATAACCAACAGGACCATAAACAGAACCGGTCATCATCATCATCATCATTACAGCCCTTCACAAGTCCACTGCTGAACATAGGCCTCCCCCAAGTAATGCCACAAAGCACGGTCCTGAGCCACCTGCATCCACCGACTTCCTGCATGTCTTACCAGGTCGTCACTCCATCTAGTGGGGGGGCGCCCTACACTACGCCTACCGGTACGAGGCTGCCACTCGAGAACCTTTCTTCCCCATCGGTTATCGGTTCTTCGAGCTATATGGCCGGCCCATTGCCACTTCAGCTTACTAATCCGTTGGGCTATGTCGGTCACTCTGGTTTTACTGCGGATATCCTCATTTCTGAGTCTATCACGCAGAGAAACTCCGAGCATAGCCCTCTCCATAGCTCGCTGAGCGACCTTGAGCGTCCTCATACGGCCAGCAGTGAAGGACCACGTCTCAGATCCGTAAGTAATCACTGGCAACACGCACTGGTTGTACACTTTAGTTTTCAGAGATTGAGGTATACCTGACGAGAAGATGTGTCGTATTTTCCCGAACGCTGCCCAGCCGAGTTGAATCCGTCGATTGACCTCTAGGTCGAAGTTGGACTTACCTAGTCGGACTATTTGTCCCAGGTAAACGTACTCGTCAACAACTTCGAGCATAGTGCTCCCAACAACTACCGGCATAGGTGTGACATGGACATTAAACATGATCTTTGTTTTGTCCATGTTCATCTTAAGACCTATCCGTTGGGAGACACCATTGAGGTCATTGAGCATAGTGCTAAGGTCCTCCAGCGATTCTGCCATAAGGACTATATCGTCGGCAAATCGAAGGTGAGTGATGTACTCGCCATTGATGTTAATACCGTATCCTTTCCAGTCCAGTAGCTTGAAAACGTCTTCCAACGCAGCGGTGCAGAGTTTCGGGGATATAACGTCACCCTGTCTTACACCTCTCTGCAGTTGAATAGGTTTCGAACTCTGGTTCTGTACTCATAGGCCTACTGTACAAATACTTCAGCACTTCGATATACCGACAGTCAACTTGGCACCGCTGAAGGGACTGTAGCACCGCCCAAATTTCGACGGAATCAAAGGCTTTCTCATAGTCCACATACGCCAGGCAAAGTAGCAGATTGTACTCTTCGGTCTTCTGTACAATCTGCCGCAGGGTATGTATGTGGTCTATGGTACTGAAGCCTTTTCGGAAACCGGCTTGTTCGAGAGGCTGGAAGTCGTCGAGGCTGCGAGGACTTCAAGTACCAGTGTTCCACCCGCTTTCAGAAGCTCCGCTGTAATTCCATCCTCGCCTGGGGCCCTGCCGCTTTTAAGGTGCTGGAGACCCATTCTAATCTCGCTCAGACTGACGTCCGGGATATCATCGGAATAGTGTCGGGTAAGACTTGCTCTTGGATCGTTACTCACACTTGCGTGTGGCTCCAACGATGATGTGTACAGCTGCCCATAGAACCTCTCAATCTCACTCAAAATCTCAGGTGTCCCGGAAACGATGCTGCCACATTTAGTCTTCAGCTTTGACAGTTGGCTCTTTCTGGCAGACAGATCTCTGGCAAAGACTTTGGAGCCCTGGTTCCGCTCGATCGCTTCTTTAATACGAGCAGTATTAAAGTTGCGTAAGTCTCGCCGCATGAATTTGGAGATCTGTCTGTTCAGTTGCCTGTATGCTGTCAAATCTGTTGACGATTGCAGCCTCATCTCCCGTCTAACAGCCATGAGATTAAGAGTGTGATCGGAGAGTTTTTGTGTTCTTCTGCGGCGGGTCTTGCAGAACTTAGCTCCGACCGCATGGACAGTTTCCACGAGCTTGTCATTTATATCGTCCACTGCATTGCAATCTTCTAGACACTGGAAGCGGTTACGTAACTCGAGCTGAAAAGTCTCGGGATTCTGGATTAGAGCACGAGGGGGACGGAGCGTTGACTTTATTAGACGAGACCTCTCCAACTTAACGTTTGGTTCAGCGTGCCTCTAACCCTTCGGTGATCGCTGCCGGTTTTCACCCTTGCGATCACTGAGACATCACTGAACAGTTGGCGTCTGGTCGTCATAATGAAGTCAATCTCATTTTTTGTCGAACCGTCGGGGCTCGACCAGGTCCACTTCCTGTGGGGCCGCTTCTGGAAGAAAGAGTTCATCATAAAGAGTACCTCTTTCTCCATAAAGTCAGCCAGCTGCTGGCCCCTACGGTTCCGTTGCCCTACTCCAAATTTCCCTAACTTCAGCTCAACGGCTTCTCTTGTGCCTAGTTTTGCGTTAAAGTCTCCCATCAACGCCGTGTAGTGGGTTTTGGAGGAATGCATGGCTCTAGAAATATCCTCATACATTTCCTCCAGCTCCTCATCGGGATGTGCCGAGGTTGGTGCGTAGACCTGTATGACCTTCAGCGAATACCGTTTGGTGATTCTGAGTATCAGGTATGCGACCCTCGTCGACACACTCCCAATCTTTACAACGTTGTTGACGAGAGACTTGTGGACGATCGAAGTCCGCCACCTCCTTGGGACAGATGGTCGCCCTCCCGGTGATAGAACAAGTTGCCGGACTCGAGGATTACCGTGTCCTCCCCTTCTCTTCGGACCTCAGATAATCCAATAATATGCCAGCGCAACTTGTCTACCTCTTCTTCCAGCTCCAGTATCTTCTCGTCAGTCCTCAGGGTGCGTGCGTTATACGTTGCCAGGTCGAGTCGTCGTAACCGAACCTCCACCGGAGATTCTTAGCACCCTCTGCCCCGCCGTTACCATGGTCGCCACCGTAGCCAGGAATAGCGGGGTCGCTGGGGACTGGGGGCCGTTTATTTGCGTCGTTGCTCATGGGGGGATATTTGCCATAATTGCCACGCTTGGCGAGCGGATTGGCAACTGCAGTTTTTTATTATGTTATTGTTGTTATTAGGAAGATGCTGCTGCCCATCTCCTTTCTGTATCCCTCTGTCGCCTCTTACGACACCCACGGGAAGATATGGGGTAGTGGATATTCTCAACCGCCACTACACGGCAGACAGAACCGGTCGGTACATCCAAGCTAATACCGGCCTCCTCTCCCACAACGCCATCCACTACAGTGCGAAGCGTTCTATTAGATAGATAGCTACGGAAAATTTATTTGTAAGGCTCCTGATTCCACACTCCTCCATCGCTTGCAATAACATATTATGGTCCAAAGTATCAAAGGCTTTTTTATAATCAATAAACAAAACCATAACCTGTTTTCCTTCATTTAAGTATTCGTTAACTGTTGTATCCGAAAATAGTGCAAGTGCGGAAGTTGTACTACGATTTTTTCTAAATCCGTGTTGTGCCTCTGATAATATATTATGCTGTTCCAAAAAGTCAGTTATTTGTCCTACAACCACCTTTTCAACAATCTTATTGACCGATGATAAAATGGCAATTGGCCGGTAATTACTGTAATCTAAATGACTACCATGTTTAAATATGGGGCGAATAATTGATTTCTTTAATAAATCAGGATAAACACCTTTTGACAGGCACATATTAGCAAAATGGGCCAGTATTGGACTTATTTTTTTATTTACAACTTTAAATCTTTCAGTACCGTCCAATCCTGGTGCTTTTTGATGGTGCAATTTATCAATTATTTTTTCTATATCACAAGATTTCACTCTCTTATACCTAAAAGACACCTCGCTCCCTTTCACATACCTACATGTTTCTATCTAAAAAATTTAAATTACAAATATGCTTGATGTCTAATATTTCTTTGGTGAATGTTTTAGAAAATTTTGTGCAAATGTTATGTAAGGTATCATATCTACCCAAGTACCTCTTAATTACTAAATCCAAATCTGCCTTAGTTTTTCCTAACCATGTACTAATATTTGACCATATTTTTCTGCTATCACCATTGCAATCTTTTATTTGTTTTTCCCTACACTTGTTTTTGGCATCATTTATAATTTTATTTACTCTATTTCTAAATCTCGTGTATTCTAAACGCTTATTCATATTTTTTGGCGATGCTTTCCACGCTCTAAATAAAGAATCCCTTTTTAATATTAAATTAATCAACTTAACATCTACCCATGGTTGCGTTAATTGTTTACTGCTTTCTACAATATTAACCTTACTTTCATTATAAATATTTTCAAACACCAAACGTAACTTATCATACAATAACATTGGGCATGATAAATTTAAAACTAGAGACCAATAATAATCGTTCAACTTTACCCTACACAATTTATCACTAATCACTTGTTTAAATTTATTTACCGTTTTTACCACGTTCAACTCACTTTGCGATCCTAAGACACCTAATGTCAGGTCAAAATCAGGTGGACTGTGTGCTCGTTTACCACCCTATCCTAAAAAAACTTAACCTAAGTTTAAAGAGAGTCACAAATTATAAAGTTTTATGAACAGAGTGATATTGCAATGTACGGAAACGCACTTACAAATTAATGTTATCGACCCATTAGCGCTAATGCATACTAGATAAATCTAATAAAATATAAGTACCTAAGAAACCGGGAATCAACCCTTTCTACTTACGTATCCGTATCAGGAGAAATACTTGCTCAATTAGATTATAAGTAATATTGATGCTCTCAGAGATATGGAAGCAATAACAACACATGTAAGCCGCTTTATAAAATTATGAAATACCCAGATATCGCAATTAGCTTTTAACATTATAACAGAACGCGAGTAACCTAGGTTTGATCCTCGCCGGCACCAATGAAATTGATAATTGCTGATTTACCACGTGCTCGGCTGTGAAGGAAAACATCGTGAGGAAACCTGCATATTTGAGAAATAAGAAAAAAAATATTTCGAAGACGTGTGAAGTTCGCCAACACGCATTGGGCAGTGCGGCGGACTCTTCCTTGCCCTAACACTCTCAGAAATGAGGGGGAGGCCTATGCCCAGCAGTGAGACGTATATAGGCTGTAACTTTACTTTTTACTTTATTCAATGTTAGCACACTAACCCACGTATTCTGTCATATATTTTTGGTTAACGGTATGCTAATCTAAAACTGAACAAAAATATCCGTTACTGATTTGACAGAGTTCGTGACATGGGGGATGAGCTTGCTAAAGTAATAAAAGATTATGCCAACAATGAAATCGTTAACAAATCTTTGAGTGCTGGTTTAGATAATTTATCCATCACCTTAACAGCGGTTGAAGAATATAGAAATTGTAAAGTTCAACGTTTAGAAGCTAAGGTAAAAAAGTTAAATACTTTTATGTTATTTTTGTGCCACAAACTTAACGGCACTCATTCATTCTAAAACTACGCGGTAAGGTAAGAGTTTTAGCTACCTACACATTTCATATTACACTACTAATATACATGTATAATTATTAATTATAGTATGCAATTATAACTTTTTATCGTTACGTTAGATACAACCTATAAGTCTACTGCTGAACATAGGCCTCCCCCACAGGTCGCTTAATAAGGGCCAATTTTATTTTTTGTGACGCTGTCAATTTCCAGGGTCCTATCCCTCTAACGCCCTTTACAACCCACGGGACAAAAAGGGGTAATGGATATTCTTACCTGCACCTGATCTCACTTCAGTTTTGTCGGATTGCCAACCCATCGGACTTAGAGAATAAGAAATCACAGAGCGTACTATAATTATGTCCTGCGCAGATGGCTAGTTTCCATTGAGGTATGCGGCCTTGACCAAAATTTCGTCTGGAGGACATTATACTAAATTCACGTACTTCTATGAAATGGTCGATTCGACCGGGGAAGGACCACGCTCTCACAGAATACCAGCGCCAAATAGCTGTTCAACGCTGTTGTATTTCTTATGGTGAGTGTAGATAACCGGAGAACCTTTTTACTGGAAGCGAGGCATTCCATTTTAGTCCTCAGGGGCTGCAATGAATCTGCATTTTGATTCTGAATCGAACATAGATGTAGATTTCTATGGGCCACAGCATCCACTTACCATCAGGTGTACTGTGTACTCGTTTGTCACACTTATTCTATAAAAAATATTTTCAATAAAGCATAGCAATAAAATTCCACGATTCTCGCGATTTAAAAAAAAAAGAAACATTTAAATTTTGTGAATTGCAGGTGATTGGCGAGCTTAGTCAATATGAAACGATCTGTAAACATGCAAGAGAAGAACTTAAACACACTATGAACGTTAGGGAAAAAGAAATGGCAAGGAAGAAAGTTCTTGACAAAGCGAGAGAGAGACAACCATTCAACAGACAACAAGTGGTAAGTATATTATATTATATTTAAAAATATTTCTTTTTGTTTTAAATTGAGTTAACATTTTACAGTGGAATTTTTGCGTAAGATTCCACGACTGACGTAGCAACTCCCTACGACATTACTCTTATGAATACAGATAGATACAGATTGGTTATTGCTAATTTATTCATCGTTCGGCTTAACTCGACACTTGTAGTGTAACACGTACCAATTTTAACCTCAGAGCCTACAGGAGATCACACCTTTGTTTGCACAGAAATCTAACCATATCGTGGTATGGGTAACGTGACCAGACGTCCCGTTTTGAACGGGACTGTCCCTTTTTATAGTTACGAGTCCCGGTGTCCCCGAAATGCACTCTGGGATGCAAAATTGTCCCGTTTTCTGAAACCGTGCGATAATTCGTGTTGCTGTTACTAAAAAACTTTTTGAAGATCCCACATCCGAATTATGGCTTTATTTTTTATACGCTCAGTCTGCAAGTTTTCATCAAGCTGTATTGAAACTTGAAATTCAGACTATATTGGCTATTGAAGATGCAAAAAAAATCAATTAACTAAAAGACAATTTGACTCAGAAACAGACCAATCTGTTTCTTCCATTTACGGTCCGTCAACTAAAAGTGAAATCGAAAGATATTGTTACTGACATAGATGAAAAATTGCTGAAAAGGGCGGCTACAGAATTTCATGAAACAAGCCGTGAATATCTGAAGTGTGCATGGGAAGACGTTCAAAAATCTCTGAATGTATTAATTGAAAGGGAATATGTTGACTGTAGTAAAGATGTAGAAGTTTTCGACGAACTACAAATTTCAGTTCTAAAGGAGATATTGATAATTTAGGTGAATATAAAAAAAGTGGCAAGAGTTTCATTCTTACTTAATCCCACCATCTATATTAAAGCAAATTTGGTCCTGTGAGGAATATAAATATAACTAAACGTTTCGGATATATACAACATGTAACAAAACCCTGTGGTTCCCGTTAGGTGTGTTATCAGAATCAGTAAAGCGTCCAAGCGTATAGAAATAATTTTTTTTTTTCAAAAAAACATTTAATTTTTTTTATTTTAATGAAAAAATAATAATTTGCGAATTGTATGTGGTTTTATTTCCTCTTACTCACACGAGTATCAGTAATGCGGGGTCTTTGACAATCCTCTTACTCCTCGGCCAATCCCGAGATAATAAAATCACATACAATTTGCAAATTTTTTTTTCATTAAAATTAATTTTTTCAAATGTGTTTTTTGTTGAAAGAAATTATTTCTATATGATTGGATGCTGACTCTGATAACGCAGTTAACGGGAACCACAGGGTTTTTGTTACATATTGTGTGTATATATATACAACGTGTCCCAAAATTCAACGATAAGCCGACACCGGAGGATAGACCTGCCCCGGACTAATCGGGGGAAAAAAAAAAAAAATATATCCCAATTATATTTTAAGTTATATAAAAAAAATGAAATTCTTCAGAAATTGAGACCGTTTATGATATTTTTCACTACCATGACCACAATTTTTTTTTAATATTTGTTTCTTTTTTTTTATAGGCAACCTGAATAGCACTGCTATCTACCACAATTCTTAAAAAAATCCAGAATAACTCTTGTTTTATCACGAAAATTAATGAAACTTATTTTATTCCCTAAATTTCTGAAGACTTTTACTTTTAACCAAATTTAACTTATCGTGGTGTAAAAAAAAAGTATGAACACTAGTATGGCAAGTTTTTTAAAAATTGACGCAACTAACTAACATTCCAAAATGGTATAATACTCTAGGCAAACAAGTTATAAAAAAATATGGGTCTATGATTTCTTAACAGGGGCCAAATTCCTTAAATTGTAATTGTCAATAATCACTTTTACTACATGCCCAAAATGGATTCTTGTTACAATTGCTAGGAATTTTAATGGGGCATACATACCTTAGATTTTAGAGAGAGATAGATAGATAGAGATATTTACGTTAAAAAGAGACAACCACAGGGCGGGTAGAGAAGCTGTTATTATTCTCAGCAACTCAGTTCAGTATGCTCTGCTCCTTTGTTTACTGCGCACCGTTCCCAATTCATCTTACGTGGCTCTCGTACATACTATCGACTTTTGGCTTGGCTTTTTGGACTGGAATCGACCTGCAAACTTAACTGGCCTGACATTATTTGGACTGGAAGTGATCTGCAAACTGAACTGACCTGGCATTATCTTGGACTACGATTGTGTGTTTTGTGATTTAGAGTTCTGGCGCATTTTGGACTGTTTGGCGTTTAACATGCCGCAACCGTACACACCACAAAAATACGCTAATATGCATTTAATCTGGAGAATGCCGATGTAATGCTAACGCTGCTAGCAGACTGTATCAAAAAAGATACCCAAATGCTCAAAGATATCCTGATTATCGAGTGTTTATTAATATGCATCAAGCGTTTTCGGAGGTTCGTATGCCATCCAATAGGAGAAGCGCTGGAAGACCTAGATTGGATCGTGATGAAGAAGTTCTCAATGAGATAGAAAATGATTCGACTACTTCGGTACGTGCCATAGAAGAAGCTACAGGAATCCCGAAAGTCCAAATAATGACAGGCCAGTTAAGTTTGCAGGTAGATTCCAGTACAAAAAGCCATGTCAAAAGTCTATAGTATAGTCAAATAGTATGTACGAGAGCCACGTAAGTTGAATTGGGAACGGTGCGCAGTAAACAAAGGAGCAGATCGTACTGAACTGACTTGCTGAGAATAATAACAGCTTCTCTACCTGCCCTGTTGTTGTCTCTTTTTAACGTAAATATCTCTATCTATCTATCTCTCTCTAACATATAAGGTATGCATGCCCCATTAAAATTCCTAGAAATTGTAACAAGAACCCATTTTGGGCATGTAGTAAAAGTGATTACTGACAATTACAATTTAAGGAATTCGGCCCCCGTTAAGAAATAATAGACCAATATTTTTTTATAACTTGTTTTTCTAGAGTATTATACCATTTTGGAATGTTGGTTAGTTGCGTCAATTTTTAAAAAAAACTTGCCATACTAGTGTTCATACTTTTTTTTACACCACGGTAAGTTAAATTTGGTTAAAAGTAAAAGTCTTCAAAAAATTTAGGGAATAAAAAAAAGTTTCATTAATTTTCGTGATAAAACAAGAGTTATTCTGGATTTTTTAAGAATTGTGGTAGATAGCAGTGCTATTCAGGTTGCCTATAAAAAAAAAGAAACAAATATTTAAAAAAAATTGTGGTCACGGTAGTGAAAAATATCATAAACGGTCTCAATTTCTGAAGAATTTCATTTTTTTATATAACTTAAAATATAATTGGGATATATTTTTTTTTCTTTTTTTCCCCGATTAGTCCAGGGCAGGTCTATCCTCCGGTGTCAGCTTATCGTTGAATTTTGGGACACGTTGTATATTATATATATATATATAATTCGTAATTATTAAGCTTACTGAATTTTTCTGAATAAATAACTTTAAAAAAGCGTTTTTTTTTAATTGACTACCTGTTAATTGACCTAAATAAACCAATGTCCCGTTTTGAGTCAAAAAATAAATGGTCACGTTAGGTATGGGTAGGTTTCTGTGCTGCCTCGAATATTCCAAATATTTTATTTCTTAGACATGCAGATTTCCGCACACTGTTTTTTTTTTCACCGCCGTGGATGTAGTAAGCCACAGACATGAAATTCTGGTCTATCCTTCGGTTATTCGATCTGGTTATATGGACATTGGCACTCATCGTCTTCAATGGTTTAAATTATTTATATCAGAACATCATTTTCCAGACATATGCGGAATCGGAATTACTAAAAGCGACTGCCGAAATGTCCCGCACGGCAAAAGGCTTAAGCGAACAAACAGAATTCTTTGAGCGACGCAAACTTCAACAACTGAAGTCGCTGCTGTCGAACTTCGTGATGATAGAAATGACGTTTCATGCCAAAGCCATTGAACTTTTCACTGTAGCTTATCAACAAATAGCAGATATAAATGAAAGAGCCGATTTAGAGGTAAGCATTCATTTGTAAATTTTTCACCTTTAGATGTAAGAGTTAGATTAAAAGAAAAACATATTTTAGTTATTAGGTATTTTGTGTATTGCGTAATCGATTATTTGTGAATTTTGTACATCTCCAGACTTCAGAGACTTCATTTAAGCCTTTAAGCAGACTTTAGATCCTTTGTTATTTAAGTTACAATAGAGCGACGCAGATCCCACGCCACCGAATTCCTCACAACCATGGTGAATGCCACCTGGTTTAATGGTGATCACATCAGTGAGTGCCTGACGTCACATTTTCGTCAGTTGTAGTAATTTGTCTGAGTTCTGACTTATGTTTCCTCTTATTTCTTAAGATATGAGCTACTTTTTTATTTCACTTACCTACCTAAGTTTCATTTCTTAATTTATAAATTCGGATAAGTACCTAAATCTGATGCCAAAACATTGCTGGTTTTCCATTTAAATTCACAAATCCGTACGTCATGTCATTCACTTCCTCCCTATTATATTAATTAGCTTACCCATCTATGTATGGTTTGCGACGGTTGCCTCATGCGTCATACTTGTGAACAAGTGCTGCTTGTGGTGGCTGGTCAACTCGGGTTCGCCTTGCACTGATGAGCTCCAAATTTCAACGTATTTTTTACTTTATCATAGAACATACTTAAATTATCGATAAGTTTATATGCTAACACATTATAAGAGATGTTATGATAATAATGTTCTATAGACCGAATTTCGGTCACAGCGGCCAGTCTGCGCGGGACAGGATTATAGTGCACGAGTGTGTGCGTAATAACGAGTACAAATATAGGTACTCTATCGATCGTGGAAGATTTTCTACAAATATCTAAATTTACTACCATCCTTAAAAGTGTTTCTATTAATATTTTTACGTCAAGATTGTTGTGTATTTTTATAGTAATTGAATATTTTTGTCAAGCTCTTGGATACAGGTCTTTCGGATAACGGAGAGTCAACGGTAATCTTCATTTTATATCATTAATAATTGATGATTACGAGTGTTAATCATTGTCACAAACACTGTTGCCAACAGTTATTAATGAAACTAAAATACTTTAAATAAACTCTAACTTTAATCAGTTCAGTGATTAATACTTGTTAGTGTATCTATTTTATAAAACAAAAATTTTATACTAAGGCCTGCAACCGACCTGAAATTCGCGCCGGTGATCACTTACTATCAGTTGAGCCGTATGCTCGTTTGGTTCATCTTTTAAAAGAAATATTATCTCCCCTTATTCACCAGCCCGTAACCGTCCACTGTCGAGCATGGGCCCCTTCCCATCGTAGGGACAATTTGCAGTATTCATTACGAGAATTATTGGCAGAAGGTTTAGCTTTTTTGGCGGCTAAGAAAAGGAAGGTCTTATAACATAGCAATAAAGAAGTTCGCATTTTGAAACAAATGTTTCATTTTAACAAGGTTTCTTATTGACCTCATAATGTTGCTTCATCATATTAAAATATTAAGTAGGTAACCTGCTTAGAAAATTTTACACATTGACACTAAAGTAATTTGTTTAATAATTTTGGGATATAATTTGCACTATAATATAACCGCACTTTATTATAGCCACCAAACTCAAATCAAAAGATACAAAAGTATGCAGGTACGTATATATCATTGTAAATTTTAACAGAATTTCAAGAGAAAGCTACTGTCGCCTGAAAAACCTGTGAGCATTGGGATTTCGGCAAGATCTGTATCGTTGGCCTCTCTAATGAATCAACAGTCGCCATCACGAGATGACGGTGACACAGCGGTAATAAAAAGACTACCATTTTTAATAACATTGTAAACTAAACTACATAGTTGTATCTCATAACACTATTAATTTATTCGATACCCAGGATACTGCCATCTATTTACTAAACATAAGGTTTTCGGTTCAAGGAAGTAAAAGAAGACCCTTCTTTCTTTATATGGCCCTGGATATGCGTGAAATACGCTTGACAAACCATTGAGATATATATATCAATGTGACAAACGGACTGGCGTTCACAGTACCAGATGTCTCGCCCCTTTGCCGCTGCTCTTTATCACCGGTCTGTTTATTTTACATCTGAAATATCCAACTGCCATCTATCAGGTCAATGAGGTCATGAGGGCTCTTTGGTCTCTCCCACAATCGCCATCACATGGTGTGATGTTATTTTTCTTCAATTCGAAAAAGCTAAAACTAATATAAACAACATAAATTGCACAAGGAAAACTCGTCGATAGATGTTAGATAGAGTATTTTGAAGTTTACCTAACCTCACACACAACATAGACCAGTGCTCAGCGTGATTTTTAATCATAATGTTTCTTTAAATAATTCGTAAGAAAGACATTCGTAGAAGAACTAACAGCCTGCAAAAACGTTATTAGGCGGCTGTATAACCTGAGCTCACTCACAACAACCATTGGGAAGAAATTTTCTCAAGAAACTTCGTACGGCTCGTTTCGGCGCACATTACCGGAAATGTAGGGTGCTAGAGAGAAACCCTATACCTTGTACCACATGTGGTTAATTCGTTCAAGGCACAGGATATCGGGAAGGAATCGGGTTCAACTGATCATTTCAATAGATAATTTCAAACTAGGACGGTTGATATATTTTTAAAATATCGGATTTTCGATATATCGATAATTATAAATATATCAATATCGGAGTTTTATATATAAGTTTATTTATCGATATATCGAAAATCCGATATTTTAAAAAATATCAACAGTCCTAGTTTGAACTGATCAGTTGGAATGATCAGTTGAACTGACCGTGTGTGTCGTCCATTAGAGTGATGTTTTCTTAATCTTTATTAGAACCCTATTATCATTACATAATGATATAATTCGTATACATAATATGTACATATATGTATATAGTGATTCCTTATATTTGTGCGAATATTTCACATGAGATAAAACTAATTTTACGGCTTTTGTCGCGTTTAATTTTAACTTTTTTAATTCCCGAAATTTCTGAAACTTTACAGAACCCATGGTCATGTGCGAGGGGAGGGGGATGGGGCGGTTTAGTTTTTTAACATCCTAATGTCATAGTTAACTAAGGCTCCCTTCAACTTTTATTTATTAATGTTTGGTCCGATCTACTTATGCAGAACGAGCTTACATTATCTTGAATTCTTGCAGTAGTATGCTAGGATTTGGATCATTTTATTCATTTATTAAAAAGTAATAAAATTAAATCCAAAAATATCCGTAAAATTAGGTTTATTCTTATGTTCACATTTCAGAGCTTGGGACGAATTAAATCGCCAGATAAAAATGCTACAATGGTCAAACAAAGGTCTAATTCGTTAGCGGCGTTGCTGAATCAGTCATCATCTAAAGACGAAGGGGAAACAACGGTACCTACATTTTAAAATATTATACTTAAGACAATTTTATCAACTCAAAACAGTTATATTCTTTTATATTTCAAAAAGAACTTAGTTTTATTTCAGTTTTCTGTTTTAGGATTCCGAATCAGATGAAGAAAGCTCTTCGGAAGAAACCGAATCTCGTTGATCGTTGTGCAACTCGCAAAATATTTTTATGCTAGGATAATAAATGGTTTAACATTAGAAGGCTTTAATTTCCATGGTTTTTTATCACATGATCAATAAACCGCTTATTTGTTATTTTTATTGGTTATACCAATCATATTTCCTGATGTGAGTGTAATGTCTTGGTGGGTTCGTAAATTGGGGACCCGCATTTTCATGATTTGGACAATTATTTACCCATCATATCACGATGTATCTAATAGAAAGTTGGGTAAAACGACTAGAGTAACCTCTCTATTGATATTTCCAGGTAAACAATTTGTCTATATCGTAGACGTAGACCGATCGATAGAATTGGGCAGATCGTAATTCGCCTGATCATTTCATGGTACGCCGCCATTTCGTGATTTGGACGATAATTTATAATTCCGACTTCTTCAAAACTACGAAAGCAACTATCTAGTAATATGAGCGACAGAGGGTTAAGGGGTGGCCCTTGGACCATTCCAAAGCCGCTTACATTAACACGTTAAACGCCATGGGGGGCACCGGTGACCTCATATATGTAGCTTTATTGCGCCATGGGGGACACCGGTTTTTTGCGCCACCGGTCACGCGTGTCGTTTATTTCGCCTATGTGAGTGACCGGCGCGGCGCTTGAGAGCAATCCTTTGCAGTGGGACACACCTGCCAAGTAAAATTTAGAAAATAGGTACTAAATTATGAGAAGTAGGGAAAAATACGCAAAAAAAAATGTTTCATATAAAATTTGGTTTTAAATATCGTAGTTTTAAGATTCAAAAGATACAAAAATCTTTTACAGTATTAATGTTTTAATAACATAATAATATATCAATCACAAAGAAATATCAATATTTTACACGTGGTCATAGAAAGGCTCACAAAACAATTTAGATAGTAATTTAAAAGTTATTATATTGAAAATATTACAAACAAAAATTATTGTCCAAATTACGTTCGATGCTCTCTATTAAAACATGGCAGGCAATAATGTGGCTGACCATCACACTGCAAACAATAGGTAGGCACTTTCAGGGTCTTATTTTTTGCGTCTTTTTCTCGACATCTTTTCTACATTGTTCTTGTAACAGCCGACACAAAATCGTCTCATTTTGCGTACAGGTCCCTCTTTTTTGACAAGTTCATGTTTTCGTCGTTTTGGACGTAATTCAAGTGCCAAGTTACCTGTTTCTGGACGTCCTGATTTAGTGAGATATTGAACGAGATTTTTTCTATAATATACTACTGAAATATTTTTCTTAGTGGTTTCCTTATACATTATCAACGCATTTACCACAGCTGTATTCAAGAGCAATTCTATGGCCAATTTTCTATACCATTTGACAGTTTTTCTCAGTGGAGTTGAATAAGCTGTCATCTGATCACTCATGTCGACTGAAGCTTTACATTTGTTATAATCAATAACCATTGCTGGTTTTTGCACCGCCTTGCCTCTGACATTTAATCGAGTAAATTTGTCCGTGTGCTTTGTAGACAGCATTAAAACATCTCTTTTATCTTTCCATTTTAATACTGTGATGCCACAATCGTTTTCTTGTGCTACGAATTCACCTCGTTTTAAATTAGTTTCTACTACTTTCCTAGGCAAGTACTTTCTGTTCTTTCTCACTGTCCCCAGGAAATGTGTATCGTTTTTTAGTAATTCGTACGCCAGTTCCAAGCTGGTGTACCAGTTATCAGTGGCAATGGTGTGGCCTTTATTCAAGAGTTCATCGCACAGGGATAATACTATTTTTGTAGGGGTATTATTCTCAATATCAATATTTTTTCCACTGTATACCTGTATTTTTAAAGTATAACCAGAATTTGTACAAACTTTAAACAATTTTATACCGTATTTGTGCCTTTTAGATTTGTTATATTGTCGAAAAGTGACTCGACCTCTAAAAGGAATCATACTTTCGTCGACACACAGTTCTTCTTTAGGGGCATAGTAGGCTTTAAATTTATCATTTAACAAATTCACAAGATACCTGATTTTTCCAATGCGATCGTTCGGATTCAAGTTGTAATTGTCGGCAAAGTGTAGGTACTGTAAAAGTAATTCAAATCTGTTCCTAGTCATCACTGTGCGAGGAAACGGTTGTTGAAATATGTGATCTGTACTCCAGTAATCACTAATTGATGGCAATTTCACAAGGCCCATGAATAAAATTAGTCCAAAAAATCGTTTTATTTCATGCTTATCGGTTGGCTGCCATGTATGTGAGCGAGAACATGGCTTGAAATCTTTATCTCCAAAGCTTTGCGTAGCAAACAGGTTACTTTGTTCAGCAATTATTTCAAACAAGGAATCGTCAACTAACAAAGAATAAAAATCCTCTGGATCTCCTTGACTTAAGTCTCTTGAAAAAGCAATCGAGCAGTGCATCCAGTAGGGTTCTTCCATTTTGTGTACGTGTTTGAAGAAGTAGGTTAATTTTGTAGGACAAAATCTTTTACTGAATCGCTTTCACTGTCCGAATTGATAACCATACGTCTTCTTTTCTTCGGAACATGTAAATTTTCAGACTCATCGTCGCTACTGATGTCCCTGAACGATGTCTGAAGTGCGTTGAACTCCAAAGTCTCAATCTCTTGCAAATCTTCTTGCGACAATTCAAAGTCCGCCAAATCCATTTGAAATTCGCAAAAATCGCGTTCCTCATTATTAAGTACTATATTATTTTCCATCGCAATGAATTACTAAACATAACTAACATGAAATATGCTTTAGGCGTATTCTAATTAGCCAAAAACCAAACGAACATAAACTCTCCGCGCAAGCGCCGGCGATAGACTGGAGCGCGGGGTGACCGGCGGGGTGGGCGGCGTGGCGCATGCAAACGAAAAATAACTTTTTTTGCTTTTTGAGCGCCATGGGGGTCACAGGTGCCCGCGGCTAGTTTTTCAGCAATAACTTGAAAACTGTATTTTTGATTTCGATAAAAACTGATTTCTATACATATATATCATGATTATTAACAAAATGACTACAAAAAATTTTTGGAGTAAAATCACATTTCTTACATGGCGTTTAACGTGTTAAGGTACTGGATGACCTTTTTTTCCTTCTGGAATAAAATGGGGTGTATTTACATACACCCTATTTTTAGACTTCTACCAGAAGCCTATGGCACTGATATTTTACAAAATTTTTACATTTTTTACACCCTATTTTTCAAACGGTAGAAAAGGTCATCCGATATAAATATTCTTCTAGTAGAGTGTGGTCCTTCCCGGTCGAACCGACCCATTCGTGTTACAACCATAATATAGCTGCAGCGTGGATAGTACCACGTATAATATATTGTTGCGCGCCTAAGTTGACGTCTGGAACTAGCGCCAGTCGAAAATGACATGACTAATCTTTTAACCAATAGCGCCATCTAGTATCGAATTGAAGAACTAAGCTTTCTGGAAGCCTCACACTCGAACTTTCTGCGTCTAGTCGGTCAGCGCCCGTATCTACGGGAATATTCTGGATGTTTCGGCGTAAAAGTGTATTTAAACTCGTTGCATGCCGCGATCGGGGCAGTATTGAATTTGGCGAGACAAGCGAAGCTTCGGAGCGAAATAAAGTGAATCAGCGTGATTAATTATTAGTGTTTTAAGTTTTAATTGGTGTTCGGTAATAAAAGTGTAAATTTTGGTAACTCAATCGGCAGTTTTTATTGTCACGAACCTCAAGCTCGTAACAATATAATATGTGGGTCCTTACTCTAAAAATACCCATCTAGGCGAATGCCAGCAACGACAAACGTGCGACTTTTGCGAAAACCAATTATGGCAAATAAAACGGGCGAAGTCCACGTGCAGCAGTGGACATTTACAAGCCGATGAAAAAATACTCAAAGCTTGTATATCCCACACGTATAACCGATGTCTGCATTCGTTTCTATATTTATTGAACCACAAAAGCCAATTCACGTGACAAGCCTGCCAAATCAGTGCACAAAAAATGCTCAACAGTAAAGTGCACGCAGCTTAGCACTTTTTGGTGTTGTAAGGAGATAGACGATATTACCTACTCTTATTTTATAGCGGACACTGGCCGTACGGCGGCTCTACACGTTGGTCAACACAGTGGCGAATGTAGTGGCGAAGATATTGGCCGAGAGTTTGTGACGGCATCCACACGTTGGAAGGTCGTTCAGTTTGCTTCGGTTCAGGCCAATGTGCGGACGAATTTATTTTATTTATACGACGGCTCCGTGGTGCAGTGGCTTAGCAATGAGTGGTTGCGCCGGGGGCCGCGGGTTTGAAAGTATTTTTTTAAGTTTTGTATTAACGTTTTTATAAATTAATTATAAAAGAATAGTGGATATTAATGAGGCTGTAAATAGATATACGATATACGATTAGCTTTATTTATTTTTTACATGCATCATAAACTGGAAAGTTAAAGGAGTTATAATCGATTAGTCTATGTTTTAAAATTGGGTTTTGATTTTAAAGTTTAGCAAAACATGTACTTGCTTTTCTATCAGACATTTGATGTGTACCTATAAAAAAACACCTTATAATTTATTTGGTAATTTATTTATTTTTTGAGAAAGACAAAAACAATAGGAATAAATATAATTAACACTGACTTAATAAAGTAAAGGAAAGTAAACTTACAGCCTATATACGTCCCACTGCTGGGCACAGGCCTCCCGCTCATTTCTGAGAGGGTTTTAGGGCAAGGAATTGTCCGCCGCGCTGCCCCAATGCGTATTGTCGAATCACATGTCTTCGAAACATTTTTTTTTCTTATTTCTCTGACATGCAGGTTTCGTCGCGATGTTTTCCTTCACTGCCGAGCACGGGGTAAATCAGCACTTAAAATTGCAATTAACAATTACTGTCTGACTTAATTGTCTGACATAATAATAGGTACTAATTTATAACTGAGAACATAAATGAAAAACTCATGACAAGGAAAGTGGATCAGGAACATGCTTTGCGGCAGTGTGTGGAGGAGGATGTTCAGTAGTGGACTTGTGAAGAGCTGTAATAATGATGATGATTCAAAAACTTGCACGATTAAATATTAAGAAATCGACGTTTTTTTATGGGATAGGGTGACAAACGAGCACACAGTTCACCTGATGGTAAGTGGTTACTGTGGCCCACAGACATCTACATCTATCCTCGATTACGAATCAAAATGCAGTTGCGTTGTCACCAGTGAGGACTAAGATGAAATGCCTCGTTTACTTTAAAAAGGGTATCTGGTTCTCTACACTCACTATACGGAACACAGCATCATTAAGCTACTACGAGTATTTTCCCCGGTCGAGCCGACCCATTAGTGCTACAACTATACTTTTAATATAACTGAATGGTTCTACCACGTATAAACGAAACGACGTGCTTCATTTTTTTTTTTTCATTTTAAAATTGTTCTCGTAATAATCTAATGGTAAATAAATGTTCATTTTTTTTTTTGATAAATAGGTTATCGATTAAAACAAATGTTTAAAAATAATTAAATCGCGCTAATTAAAGTAGTAGGAATGTTTAAAGTTGAAATTAGCACTAAAAGGCTGGTAATTGGGGCATCCACCCTACAAAGCGTGAATATAAAATGAAGACTGGTTTTCCTCTCATGCTTACCGCCGGCGCTGACGGTCGGCGCGTAGCTTGTCAGCGCTGATCGGTCAGCTCGGACCGTTTTAGTATCGCGCTGATCACCGTGAAGTACAGACGCAAATAATGTCGATGTTAGTGAAAACTGTTGCCGTGTACTATTTAGCAAAGAAAAAACGTCTGACAAAGAAAAAACGTCACGTTCATCCATTAATCGGGCAGAGAATCTTTGCAGGGGAATTCGTTATATTATAGGGCCAGTTGAGAGAGGACGAAGACAAGTTTCTCAACTATTTCCGTATGTCATCAAGAAGTTTTGACGAATTACTAGCAAAGATCCAAAATAGATTGGTTCATTACAGCTTACGTCGTGTTCATATACAGCCGATTGAACGCTTGATGATTACTTTAAGGTAAGAAAAAAATAAGTACACTGAAATATTTATTAATTATATATTTATACAACAAATAATCAATGTTAAGCATTAGACATGTTCAATATTCTCGGATGAACCGCTTGGATGATCATTGTCATAATTGTATGGTGACGGTGTATTATACATATTTTGTTGCTCATATTGTGGTGGTGATCTGGGGATGTTAAATTTACCATGGATGTTGAGCTAGATGGTCTATAATGCATATTTTTTACACTTGTGACGATATTGACGGGGATGAGTCGCTCGCGTCCGTAGGCTTCGACCACCTAACCTTAGGCCCACCCTACACGTGTCCCCCGGGTGGTGCTAAACGAGCGACAAAGCCGATAAAATAGACTCGGCTCCTCGCCGTATGGTAGCGGCGTAAAATCTACCACCAACCCTTGTTCGCACCATGACTCAAGAAATAAAAGAAATGGCCCCGAGTTCCCGGCGCCCTTTAAATGGGGCAGGGGTGCGAAGAATCTCCGGGAGAAAAACCGGCGACGAGGTTCGCCACCCGTCACGTTCTGTCTCCCGGAGGGGCGAAAAGTGGATTGCGGAAACCCGTCTGGCTACGCTGAATGTATGTGGAGGAATGAATGATAAGATGGATGAAGTATGCGAAATGATGAATGACAGAGGAATAGATGTGTTATGTGTGAATGAGACGAAACGAAAGGGAAAGGATGCCACTGCACATGGCACGTATACCGCGTATTGGTCTGGTGTAGGCGAGACCGAACGGGCATGCCAGGGAGTCGGTTTCATCCTTTCAGAAAGAATGGGTCAATGTGTGAAAGAGTATGAATGTGTAAGCCCGAGACTGCTATGGATACGAATGAAAGTGGGCTTAAAGAAGCTGTTCCTGCTAGGGGTGTACGCCCCAGACATGTCTAAGCCCACTTACATCCGAGAGCAGTTTTGGGACATGGTAAGGATGGTGTTGACAAAATGTAAGGAAAATGAAAATATTATTATGTTAGGAGACTTTAATGGAAGGGTTGGGGTGAAGAGGTCTGGTTATGAAAGGATATTGGGAACGTTTGGTGATGAAAGTATAAATGAGAATGGTGAAGACCTCCTCACCGTATGTGCGGAAAAGAATCTTTTTGTGACGAATACTTTTTTTCGTCATAAGAAGATTCACATGTATACATGGGAAAGAGGTGATGATAGAAGCATGATAGATTTCGTAATTGTGGATGAAAGAATGAGGAGCGCAGTCATAGATACAAGGGTTTACCGGGGGTCCAACGTAGGGACGGATCATTACTTGGTCTTATGTCGAATTAATGGTCTTTTCAAGCGTTGGCGGCATTGGACATCTGTATCTACCACTGCGTTACAGCGTATAAGAATAGAGAAGTTACAAGATGAAGATGTGATAGAGAAGTATAAATGTAGACTGAGAGAAAATATTAGATGTTTGAATGAGTTGTGTATGAATGATTTAGACTTGAATACTGTGTGGGATAATATTAATAAAGGTTTGGTGGATACCGCCACCGAAGTATGCGGTGTAAGTAAGAGAACAAATGAAAGGAAAAGTAATACGTTATGGTGGGATGATGAGGTACGGGTGGAAGTTGAATCAAAGAAGAAAGCATGGTTAGATTTACTAGCAACCAAAGCTGATAATTCTTC